TCGTGTCTATTATTAGTAACATTAAGTTTCTTGAACATTCCAGAGTGGTCAACATGTTCGGTAATTTTCTAGAACATTCTTGAACTTTGTATATCCAGAACTTTCCAGTAATATCATGTACTTACAACTTCTAGAATATTCTAGATTTATATTACTGTATAAATACCCTGACAATTTGATGCATAGATACAATTGTCGTACAAGCATCACTGAGGTATTACTGGGATATAATTTCACTGGGACATTGTGTGCAGCAACGGACACTCTGATGTATGTATTTTTAGATTTTTGCTAAGTTTGTACTTAATGATTTGTATATTACTGTAAATAAATTATTGTTAAGTTTTAACTGTGTGATTGATCTTTGCTGGCATTTAGGGTTATTCTGACCCATAACAGAATTCAAAGGTCATAGTTTTGTTAAATATTATTGTGGTAGGAAAATGATTACTTTTAATTTACTGTGATTTTGTGATGCTGAATGAAATATGCCAGGGGTCTAACGGCAACATGTTGACTCAGGACCCCTGACTTGCGAGATGGAGCTGACAGGCTATATAGAGATATCGATAATATCCATTGTATGTGACTCACTAGGATGATATTCATATGCCAGGATACTTTTGAAGAAATATCAAAACATCACCTAAAAAATTCCAACTTATGTTTTCTTTGTTTACTTAAAACTTTGGGTTTAATATACAAAATAAATACATGTATATGCTAAATATAAATTTGAAACCCTTAATAATTAAGGCTTCATGTGCAGAATAATTTTATTTTACAACAAAGTTTTAACATACAATTTTGAATAAGTTATTCTTATTTGTGAAGATATGTTATGTTAATATCAATACAAAAAAAGATTTAATTAATATCAGTATAATATATCTTGATACATATTTTATCTTTGCTCAAATATTTTGATACATTTAAGAAGTGAAGCTTTTTTAGGTCACCTGAGCAAATTAACATGACCTATTTCTATATGTTTTCATTTGTCATCGTCTGTCGCACGTCGTTTGTTGTCAGTCGGTCGTAAACTTTTGAACATTTTCAGCTTCTTCTCTGGAACAATTGCATATAGCATCTATAGGTGAAAGGGAACAAAAATTGTGAAATTCATGGCCCCTGCCCCCTTGGGGCCTGAGGGTTGTGGCCAAAACCACTAAAATTAATGCAATCTGTAAAAATCTTCTTCTTTACTCCTGGACATCAAGCAGTCAAACTGTTGGCATTATTCTGATCAGTATTGAGTCCTCTACCAAAATTGTGAAATTCAGTGCCCCAGGGTCATGGGTTCTAGTGCTAGGGCGGGGCTATATAGATTATATATTGAAAATGCATTATTTCTTTGAAAATCCTCTGCTCATGGATATTAAACAAACTAACTGAGTACAAAGTTATGATAACCAAGAGTGTCTCCTCCAAAATTGTGAATTTTATGGCCCCGGGGTCAGGGGTTGTGGTGTTAGGATGAGGCTCTATTGATTATAAAGTGAAAATGCATAAATTCTTTGAAAATCTTCTTCTCTGCTCCTGGGTATTAAATAAAGTAACCAAGTACAAAGTTATGATGAACAAGAATTTCTCTTTAAAAATTGTGAATATCCTGGCCCCTGGGTTGGGGGTTCTTGTGTTAGGGTGGGGCTCTATTGATTATATAGTGAAAATGCATTAATTCTTCAAAAATCTTCTTCTCTGCTCCTGGGTATTAAATAAACTTACCAAGTACATGATTATTTTGAACCAAGAGTGTCTCTTTAAAAATTGTGAATTTTATGGAACCTGTGGTTTTGGTGTTAGGGCCAGACTGTATTGATTATGTATTGAAAATACATAAATTCTTTAAAAATCTTCTCTGCTCCTGGGTATTAAACTAATGAACTATGTACATAGTTATGATGAGGAAGGATGCTTCTTCCCAATTTGTGAATTTCAGGGCCCCTGGATCAGGGGTTCTGGTGTTAAGGCAGGGCTCTTATGATTCAACAGTGAAAATGCATGAACAGGTGAAAATCTTTTCCTTTGCTCCTTGGTGTTTATGCCAATGATCTTAGTATATATTTATGATGAAGGAACATGCCTCTTCCAAAATAATTAATTTCAGTGCCCTTGGGTCAGGGGTACCAGGGGGAAGGGGTACTTAGTCTGAAAATTATTTAATGCTTTGAAATCTGCTCTTTGGTCATAACCAACCTTTTATGATGGAATAAAATTTATGATAAAATTTCCAAATTTTTGAAATATGTGGCCCCAGGGTCAGTGGTTCCTGTGGGAACTGGTGGTTATTACATGATACTCAGGTGACCTATAAGGCCTGTGGGCTTCTTGTTTAACCTATGTTATATGTTATAATATAAATTGGTGTAGTTTACTTTTATTAATTGCAAAACGGTTTATAAAAAAGTGTAAACTGAAAAAAAAATTATGTTGTATTGTGGATTGACAGGAAAAGAATTTGTGATATATATTTTAGATATAGATTGATAGAGAACATATTTGTGATAAACATTTTATATACATATTGACACAGAACACATTTGTGATATACATTTTATATATAGATTGATAAAGATGACTTTTGTGATATACATTTTATACATAGATTGATAGAGAAACATTTGTGATATACATTTTATATAGAGATTAATAGAGGAATCATTTGTGATATACATTTTATTTATAGATTGATAGAGATGACTTTTGTGATATACATTTTATATATAGATTGATAGAGATGACTTTTGTGATATACATTTTATATATAGATTGATAGAGAACACATTTGTGATATTTCATTTTTATACAAAGATTGACAGAGAAACATTTGTGATATACATTTTATACAGAGATTGATAGAGGAAAAAATTAGTGATATACATTTTATACAGAGATTGATATAGAAATATTTGTGATATACATTTTATACATACATTGATAGAGTAAACATTTGTGATACACATTTTATACAAATATTGATAGAGAACAAAATTTGTGATAAACATTTTATATATAGATTGATAGAGGGAACATTTGTCATATACATAGTCATTTTATATATAGATTGATATAAATATTTGTGATACTGTAAAATCACATATTTTCGTGGGGTCAAATTTTCGTTGTTTGAGGAAAAACTCTTGGTTCGTTAGGATTTGAATTCGTGGATTAAAAAAGGTTGACTACATAACATGCAAAATTTTACATTTCGTGGTGGACATGAATTCGTGGGTCTTTTCATACCTCGAAAACAAAACTATATCCCCCCATGAAAATTAGTGATTTCACAGTATACATTTTATACATAGATTGATGGAGGAAGCATTTGTTGTTAAGGATCCTTTCAGTGCAGATGGAGGAATGATTACATTGGGGTCTAGCTGTTGTATTTGTGGAGCCAGAGTATGTCTGTCACAGGTACTTGTAGATATAATTAATAATAATATCTTACATGTCAAATTAAAAATATCAAACCTGTAAGTTTAAAAAGAGCGATATCACTAAATGGCCACATTTCACCGAAAAAAAGATCAATTTAGCAGTTGGAAATAAATCAAACTACAATGTACAGAAAATTCCCTGAGTGCATGTTACTTGTTTTGTTTTTCAGGGTTGCAGTTTATTTTACACTAAACGCTTTTGCCTAACTTGTGTGAAAAGAAACATGAAAGAATTCCCAATGGAGATAACAGAGGTGGGATTTAACTTTTTGTGTAATCGTCTTTCAGTTGATTTTTTTTTCTTTTTCTTTTCTAGAATTGTAAAAAATCTCTTCAACATGTATTTTCAATAAGGGTTATCTATCTTTCCACAGTGTATGTAAAAGGCAATATCAAGCTGAAGAGAATTTGAAATGAATATAATGTAATGCAATTTTAATGTAAGAAGGATAAGAAACATTGCCGATTTTTGTCCAAGAATTTTTTCTCCCGACTTAGATAATAGATGATATACGCAATTTTCATCCACTATACATGTTTATATTTGCATTAAAACAATTTTGAAGACCCATTTTTATTCGAAGGGGTAACAGTTATTTCATGTCATGTCAAAAGATAACCAGCTCTTTGTTTCTAATAAATTTCTGTAGTAATATTGACTGTCAAAAAATTTGCATTTTTTAAGGAAAAGATATTAAAATTACCTGTTACAAAAGCCTTTTAATTTTATTTTAACTCCTGCCTGAAAATGACCCATTACTAGTAAAATATAATCTTTCTCAGCCAATATACTGATCATCAGTGTTATCTTTAATTAAAAATAAGCATTATTTGTGGCAACGGACGTTGAAAAAATTACACACTTTGGAAAAAATTTCAAAGTGCGTTAAAACTGGGACTAAATCAAGGCACTTTGAAAAACAATTTCAAAATGTGTTGATTTTGGGACTAAACCAACGCTCTTAGAAAAAGAAATTCAAAGTGCGTTAAGAGTGCACATCAATTATTAAATCATTGAGACACTGAATGCACTTCGAAAAAAAAAATTGTACAAAATTCAAAAATTGGACTGAGATTTTAGTAATACATGTAGACTGTATTATTTTATTTTTTTTTTTATAAATATTTCTTTCGAAAAGCTGGTGAATTGGTTTACCCCCATCGAGAACAAGATGAAGACAGGTGGAAGACCCCAACTCTTTATCTTTCTTACCCAAATATATGTATTTACAAAACTGGTATGACATTAGGTAACTATAAAAGATTAAATATTGAGATAATATTTCCTGGAAAAAATGCACCCTTGATATTACGAAAAATAGACCAAGGGACCGTATCACTGATTTAAGCAACAATTGCCAACTAACAATATGTTGGCCAAAGTACCTTTATAAAATCAAGTACAATACAAAACAAAATTGTATAAGGTGCATAAATAATTATTTTTTCATACTTCTTAATACAAATCAATAATGATAAGAAAGACCAATCGTAATTTTCAGAAATATTTTTCATGTCAATAAAATAACTATAAAAGATCATCATTTTATCAAGGAAAATTATTTTTTTATGAGCGTACAAACTGTGACCCCATTTTGTCGCATTTCTCGTACATGTAGCTTAAAATTGATATTAAAAAACCCCGTAAAATTCTAAATGCAGTAAAAAGTGTAATGAAGTCCTTAGTGCATTGAATTTTGGTTCTTTAAAAATTGAAAATCCATTTATGTTCAATGCCATCACCATCAGACCTACATAATTCGTCGGAGACGGGGATGGGGTGGCGTGGTGCTAGGGTGTTTAGCCCCCAAACTTTCTTTTGTAAAGACGAACATCATATATTTGCTGGAATATTGACCAATTCATCACATTTTTTTTCAAAATGCGTTAATATGGTCAATATTAATGCACTTTGAAAAGAAATATTTTTTTTAAAAGTGCGTTACCTATGTCCCAAATTTAACACACTTTGAAAATTGTTTCGAAGTGCGTTGTAACAAGGGCTTGTGTATTTAGACGTTAACTCGGCATTTTGGGCCACTGAACAATGAAGACTTGTGTGCCACTGTTTTTAAAGTCTCGCCCGAAAGATGTGACACTTTTCACTTCAAAGTGCTAATGAACCGTTGCTAGCTATTTTTTTCTTCTAGCGATGAAGACACGATTGAGCTTCAAACCCACCATCCCCCGATCACGCAGCGAACTAAACCGAAGCATATTTGATAATCAAAGTCAATCGATGTTTAGATTTATAGCATTTTTTTGTCTTTCAAATTCTAATTCCTAAAATGTAAGCAGTAGTTATATAGGAATGCCATTTCTATAATTAGAGTGATAAATGAGATTTTCTTGGTATAAATCGCAGTATTAACTATCCCGGTGGCATTCAGGAACTTTTTTGACAATTAAATACAAATTTGGAAATATACAAGGTCAGAAAAAATGCTTTATTACATTAATGAATATCACATGTTTTGTGGTTTATAGTTAAGAATGATAATGATTTTATATATTAAAATTAAATATTTTCAAGATGCTCATGAAAGAAACTTTTAATCTCCATGCTTAATATTTATGTTCAATAGTTGTGAAGTCATTAAAAAAGAAAAGGGTTAAGATAACGTACAACAATCAATTCCATAAAAAAAATATTTGGAGATATTTGAGTCAGGACAATAATATTTTACTCATTAACAAATTAATAATAATAATAATAAAACTGAATTATAAAACTAATAATAAAAAAAACGTTCGAGTTATCTCGCTTTGCTCAATAACATTTTTGAAGTAATAAATTAAACAACTGATGATTTTTAAGAAACTTGGTCTGACGTATGAATCATTGACAGATGTCAGCAAATTGTCAGAGTCCTGTCACATGGTCTTCTGTGATAAATGACTCTCAAGCATGATGCAGAGCCCGGCTTATCGCGGACCGTAATGAAAGCGCAAGCGTTTTTAAGTAGTTAAATATAACTAACCTTGGTCGCAAATAAAAAATAGTTTTTCATTGACTTGCTTTGTGAATCTTGCAAGGAAAAGACATTTAAACATATCACTGATTTTTTGACGTGACACATTACACGTTAAACCGTTTGCGAATGAATGTTGAAATACATCCTTTGTTTATTCTGTTAAAAAGCAAATTAAGTAAACTATTTAAATTATTATTAAAAATGGAATAGTTAAATATGTTAGCTTTGATTATTGTAAGTTAAATATTGTACTTCTAACCCTTATGATAAATCTGGAATGCCTCTAAGTAAGTACAATAAATTTGCTATGAGGAAACAGTGAGATAGAAGTCAAATCAAAGATCAACAACCAATTGCATTTAAGATATAAGTAAGACTGTAATGTCATCAAGCATTGATACAATTAGTACATATCAGCAGAATGCATTAAAATTAACGCTTGATTGCATTTATAGTTTTCATACCCTCTATGAATGAAAACTTGCACATTTCATTTTGATCTCATCAGTACTAATATACACATTTGCATTTATATTTACAGAAAAAATGAAACACCTTTTAAAGAAGGGCTTTTATAAATTAAATTTTAGAACTTTAAAGTAAATCAAAACACAAGCATGCTCTCTGGTTTAAGTCATTTTTCACGAAGGATCTTTTGTTTAGCTTGCTGCATCATTCCAACCTTCTGTAAAGCAAAACGGAAAATAAAGTTTAATTGCCATAATTATGTTGATTAATGTTAGAACATAAGGGCGTATAAAACAAGAAAATGCTTTATATAATTAAAACAAAATTCCAATCACCGTGACTTGCAAACGATATAAAAGTACAGAAATCTTTTAAAATCATGATAAAGGAGGAATCACAGAATTTCAATTTTTGATACCTTTGGGAATCCTGGGAGTTTTCATTAAGGTTCCAATGCTTCTATTGTTTGCACATTTATTTAACATTTTCCCAATTTGGAATCAATTAAATCACGCACCCACCTCAACAAACCACGAAAACCAAAATTTATTCAGATCTGTATCACAAATCTACTTTTGATAGCTGATCAATGAACATCTGTATGTAATATTTGCAAAGAAAAATGGTAACTTCACCAAGATCTACTTTCAATTATGTTTTGCAGATTGATGGATTATATTTTAATGTTTTTCAGACTGAAATTTTTGACGAATTGTTCTTTAAAAGCCTTAATGTGGGCGATATTGGTTGTTAGAATCAAGTTTGACGGGCTTATAGAAGTTTTTTTTTCTTTTTCATTTACATACTTGAAGGAAACACGTTCTACAGGTGTAGAAGGTGTTTTATTCATAGATGGTTGGAAAACATAAAGGATGACACGGAAAACTATCTACCCCCTCAAAAAATAACACAATTTGACCTAAAAATGATTTTTTTTCCAATGATCTATCTTGCTTGTGAAATCCCTTTTGTGCATTTTGGTAATTTTGAAGTTCTAAAACATAAACATTAAAGAAAAGAAAAGAATAAAAAGATAGAAAGAAACGTGTAAGAAGTGCAGTTTGAATTATGTATTCATATGTTCTCTAACAATGAGAGATCTACGTTTGGCTTTTTATATCATGGTATTTTTTCTGTCATTTTCATAAATATGGTTGCTGGAATCTGCTAGAATCGATGTTCTTATTATCTATCATTAAATGTTGCATTTGGATTATTCTTCACTTTCCTTTCTAGATATCATCTATTTTGCTGACAGGTTGGGTGTTCACAGTCCATCTTCAGTTTTCTACATGTAATAGTTCATATTCATATTTAAGGATAATACGACACAGTTATGCAATGAGTGATTTTTTTCTCATTCTAAAGAATGATATTTCCGTTACCAATGTTCATAGGGGTAACTCTCGTTAGGCCATGTGGATATTACTAGTAGAATGTGTTGTGAATTAATATTTATCTGTTTTATTTATTTGTTTGGTCAATAAATGTTGGATTTTCTTTTCAGTGTAAAAAAAAAAGTAAATGAATTTTGCATAATACTTTTGTATTTAAACAACAGTGATTTGTTTGTAGACGTTTTGTATGCAAAATATTTATATCTTTTTTTTTCTTCTTCATTTTTTAAAAATCGACTAAAACGAGGAAATAGTCATTGCAAAGACATAACGAACTTTTTGTTAAATTGTTATGATTTGTTGGTTAAAAAAATCAATTTATATTTTTTACAAAATAAAATAAAAGTGAATTCACTTTTATGATTTTATATATTTTTAAAATATTCTTTATTTTTGTTAAATAATGTGGGCATATGAATTACAAGATTTAAAACTGAAAAATAAAAGAAAAAAAATGAAAGGTTGTATTTTCCATATTATTTACTGTTACTCAAGAGAGAAACCTAAAGTCCTGGGAATTTTATTTAAGGCTTTTAGCCCGTTAGCTTGATTATTATAGTAATCTTTTATACTTTACATCTATATATCTTTTATTGATTTGATATCTCTTTTATTTGATTTAATTATTACGAATGATAATACAAAATGTATAAATAACTGGATTTTAGTGTCTTAACATTGCCATTTGATAATGTGTTTTTAGATTCTGCAATATCCGTGTGTCGATGTCCTTTTTTCTTGTTTGTTTTCTCATATATAAAAGTCAACTTTCAATTCTCAGCTAATAAAACTTTCATTAAGATGTATTTATTGTTTTGGTAACGTGGAATGAAGGGTTGTGAAATGAACTATCAAAATAAAATGAAATTTTTACATAACGTTCCGTATAATGGAAGAGGTGTCTGTGTGACAGGCTTTTATAGCATTTGTTCTTTGTTAACGACTTGCGATCATAACAAATAAATATTAAATCTTTATATATTTTGAATATGCAATATCAAAGAGAAGTTGATCGTTTATTACACATCGACCTATTTTATGCAAATGTAATTTTTAAAAAATGCATTAAAAAAAAACAACAACAAATAAACATGAAAAAACTGGTTTTCCATTGTCAAGTTTGCATTTTTACCTCAATGAGATATTTAAAAACAAATCGAAGATACATTGTATTTTACTGATTGGATCGCAGAAAATGCTAATGTAGAGAGTAAAAGAATAATTGATTAAACATTTTATAACTTGTCAAAATTAAAAAAAATAACAAAATTGACTGATTTGCGGTGTTGAAAGTTGCTTGGTTTCTCACAATCAGAATTCACATGGCAAACACCTTTCAAAAAAGCCATCAAGGCTTTTTGTCCTGCGACGTGGTTGCTTTTTCATTTTTCTTGCCAAATTAGAGGTTGATCTTACTTTGATCTGAGATTAAAAGCCCAAAGTTTAATTTGGATTCCAAAAAATACATACACGGCCTGATTATCCCCCCTTTTCATCTACAGTCGCTTATTACTGTATTGTCAATAATCCCTACTCGTCTAACGGGTTTGGCGATTCCTTGGCGCGGCTTTTATGAAAGGATATTGACTTTGGTTTTCTGACGATTTGTATCGCTGATGGAATTCTGATTTTGTCAATCAAAATTAAAATGTAAGACTGAAATCATTTTCGATTTCTTCTTTTCATTTGACCTTGATTGACAGTTGACTGGCGACGATCTTTTTAAATATTTTTATTTAGTGAGATAATAGCCTTTGAAATGAGAAATCATTAGTAATTAGGGGGTTTGAACGATTTCTGTTCGTCATCTTCTCAAGTTTCTTGTGGAAATAGAATCGCCACAATGATATAGGTGTCATTATCAAAATTTCTCAAATTCCTTTGATTTTCATTTGTAACAAATTGCAGCGGGAGTTTTCCAATTGTAAATAATTCTCAGTATGTACAAAGCTCATCAGTGGCTTATGTAATTATTAACTAACATTACTCAACGTTTAACTTTTTAGAAAATCTTTTCTTTATCAAATTGGAGAGAAATCTGAGATTTTAACTATATATTTGCAGAGATTAAGACTTGCGGTGGTATGTTTACTTTTGATTTTTCTCTATCAGTTTAATCATTTAGACCTTTTTTGGAACACGGCGAGAGACATAATGATTCGGTTTGATAAGTAGACTAAGGACCTATACTAACGGATAAATGTTCAAAAGCCACTCTTCAGCATATTTATTGCAGGATTTCCCCTCAATTTTTTCTTAAAAGAATATTTTTAATTTCTTTGTTTTTTTTAAATAGGAACTTGCAAAGAAGAGAAAGGAGTGATTTGTAAAGCAGATATTGAATAGTGTCCTGTTGGTATAATATTTCTACATCTACATCGCACCCAATTGTAGCTGAGACACGTACCGTAAACGGAATAGAATCAATGGAATGCGGTTTTCATGCAATAACATTGACATTCACCGTAAAACAAATTAAAAAGTACAGATTGCAAACTTTGACCGTGTCTGGAATTTTATCTCTGATGTTTTTGTCATGTAAGACCTTGATTGGATATTATCCGCAGATGATTCAATTATGGAGTTTTACTGGCTTTAACATCTGATGCATATTCTGATATCTTGCAAGATCAAGCTGATATCATAAAAAAAGACAATGATAAAATTCTTTTATCAGACCTGTTGATGTTGGAACATAATTGTGTGTCTATAGGGCTTTACAGGAAGAAAGAAGAAAAAGCTTTATCAAACTTTATTCCGCATTTATTATATTTTTTTCTCAGTGAAGTTCACATTTAGTATGTTACATGCACCCAAAAATAAGCATGTAGGGCTCTGCAAACATTAAAAGTTCTGTTTCAGAAACAGAATTTCGACCATGTTCTTTTGTTGATCTTAAACACATTTATACTTATTTTTATATGTAAAACGTTTTGAATTAACAATGAATACTTCTTTCAAATTATGAACTAATATTCTATATGAGCAGATAATTGAACCTGTATTTAAACTGGGTAAATATTTTCATAAATTAGATGTCTTCGAATATATTATCTATTAAAAGTTGTCACTTGAACATTGAGAAATTATTTCGAAGAAGGGAGGGCATATTGCTTTGCTGCTTTCTGTCGGTCTGTCGGTCCACTTAGTTTCCGTTTACTTTCTTCGCAACCGTTGCACATACTGAAATGAAATTTGGTATACAGGTATATCACAGAATATCTAGGTCAAGTTCTGTTTTGGGTACGATCGCACCATATTTGACAGAGTTATGCCCCCTGGACTTAGAAAAAA